CCTAATCATATTCACAATACCAATTCAACTTGAAGTTTTCTCATGACCACCTCTTTACTGCACATTATATGTTAACCAGTTTTTTCTTTAGTGCACAATTCATTTTGTTGTTTTCTGTTCCCTGCTATATGATGCACCTTTTTAAATATAAGATACATCAGTACACTAAAATGTCTGATTTTCTTTTTTCAAGTAAATAATGCTTAGTTACATACACAAACTATTATTTCTTTCTTCAGTCTTAGACACATAGTCATGAAGATTAAGAAATCATTCATAACGGCAAGCAATGGAAAAAAATAAAATAAAATAAAATTGGATAGCAGAGGAAAAAAAAAATCACATAATTACATAAGTGAAAAAAATTACGATATATTTGAAAGAACATAACAAAAGAATGTCACAAAATAGTGCTCTTACAACCTCTAAAAGAAAAGAAAAAAGAAAAAAAAGTGCTAAGAAATCTAACATAAGCCTCAAAGAATTACCTGCGATAAACTTGGGATAATTTTCCGCACCGGCTGCGTCAAGATAAGCAACCCTGTCATGGAACTCATCTGAAAGGCAAGAACATACAGTAAGTATAAAAAAAACTCGAAGGCTATCAAAGAAGACCTTCATTTGATAGAGAGAGGGAGAGGGAGAGGGAGAGGGAGGGAGGGAGGGAGGGAGGGAGAGAGAGAGAGAGAGAGAGAGAGAGAGAGAGAGAGAGAGAGAGAGAGAGAGAGAGAGAGAGAGAGGGAGAGGGAGAGGGGGAGAGGAGAGGGGGGGAGAGAGAGGGGGAGAGAGAGAGGGAGAGAGGGAGAGAGAGAGAGGGAGAGAGAGAGAGAGAGAGAGGAGAGAGAGAGAGAGAGAGAGAGAGAGAGAGAGGAGAGAGAGAGAGAGAGAGAGAGAGAGAGAGAGAGAGAGAGAGAGAGAGAGAGAGAGAGAGAGAGAGAGAGAGAGGGAGGGAGGGAGGGAGGGAGGGAGGAGGGAGGGAGGGATAGAGGGAGAGGGAGAGGGAGAGGGAGAGAGAGATGGAGAGAGGGGGAAGGAGATGGAGAGAGGGAGAAGAAGAGGGAGATGGAGAAGGAGAGAAGGAGAGAGAGAGAGAGAAGGAGACAGGAAGAAAGAGAAGGAGAGAGGGAGAGAGAGAAGGAGAAAAGGAGAAAGGGAGAGAGAGAAAAGGAGAAAGGAAGAGGAGTGATGGGAGAGGAAGAGAGAGAGAATACTTCAAATATCTTAATTATAGTAGTCAAAATCAAATATGTATTTTTTTTTTTTCTTGTACATATTTGATATTCCAACCAATATTTGTATTAACAAAAATAAACAGATATGCAAAAGACATCCGCACATTCACTACTTGTTGCACACCACAGAGAATGGCCATGCCTTTTGGTGCTCTGGCAGAGGCTAATAAAGCTCCACCGCATATATTCTTCCAACATAGTGCTTTTCACCCACTTTGAAAATTTATTGCTAAATGAAAGAACCAGAACGTATGTGGCAGAGATCTGTTGGCCTTTGTCGGGGCATGACACATGATAATCAGCCACTAGCATTTAGCTCTTCATAATGGCTAATTGTCAGTAAGATTATATCAATAAAGTCCCATTTTAATGTGGATAGTTTCTAAACATATACCCAAAAGTGTCACATTACAAATAATTACCATTGACATAAATTTCAATGTCAAGCCTTGGCAAAATTTTCTTTTCTGAAAATAAAGAATACAAACTTGATAATAGAATTTTAACTGGGAATGCAATCAATCATTAACAGATATAATCAAACTAAAATTACAAAAAACTTATAAAACTTTCATGTATCAAAACAGCAACCAATCTAACATCGCTTTATATAATTCTCGACAGGAAAGAACAGCATCCACGCGACATAATGTGTCACACAATTACTATGGCCTCTGCCCCTTCGGCCCTCCTGCGAAGGCCAACCAATCCCCACCACATACGTCTAGCAAGGCAGAACTAGGACTGACTAGTTATTCAATAGCAAGTCAAAGGAACAAAATCCGTCTTGCTTGAATATACATGACGGAGGTATGTCACCATTTTGCCGGAGAGCCAAAGGTAAAGAGGCCCTTGGAAAGAAGGTGTAACATTGCCTCTTCTGTAAGCTACGATAACCTTACTTCCACATTCTAAAGCTAGTAGTGTGCTTCCATGTGCTACTTTGTGGCAAAACCTCTGTCTTTCTCTATCTCCTTTCTCTATCTCTATCTCCACACAGTCCTCATTTCAAGGTTAATTCATCAATTAATACAAGCATATAAACGCACTACCTTCTGAAAATATCAACTAATAGCCAGAACAAATGCTAGTCTTTCACTTATCACTTCCTCTCTTAAATATTCATGGCGTAATATGCTCAACCCGCTGTTCTTTTCCCCTGCAAACGATATAAGTAAAAGTAAAGGTAAACGTTTTATGAAGAAGCCCCAGGGATTCGCCTCGGAAACCCCCCCCCCAACTATGCCAAGAAAAAAGAGAGAACGAGAGCTCAGAATAACTGGAATAACTGGAATAACTTATCTGCATTTAACAACATTTGCATCTGCATTTAATAACTTAAACTGGAATAACTTCTCTGCATTTGCCCGAGCCCAGAGGTTGGTGCCCGGCTGCCCTCTCACGGGAAAATCGGGACAATCCACCTCCATTTATGCCCTGCCTGGAGAGTTATGGCTAATCTCGCTTTCTTAAAATATAATAGACTTCCTACTTCATTTCTAAAAAAAAAAAAAAAGCATATCTTCTTTCCAATTAAAAATTCTTCTTCTTCTTCTTCTTCTTCTTCTTCTTCTTCTTCTTCTTCTTCTTCTTCTTCTTCTTCTTCTTCTTCTTCTTCTTCTTCTTCTTCTTCTTCTTCTTCTTCCTTCTTTCTTTCTTTCTTTCTTTCTTTCTTTCTTTCTTTCTTTCTTTCTTTCTTCTTTTTCTTCGTTAAGTGGTTCGTGAAATCTGAAAACCAACTGTGGCTTTAAATCCCCTTCTGCTGATAATTCTCTCGCTTTTTAAGGTCTTCTGTATGGACGTTAACTCGTGGCTTTACCTTGGCGTGGCCCTGATCAGAAGCGAGAGAGTGTGATAAGAAGCCTGAGTGCCGTTTCCTCCCGAATTCCAAAGTCCATTAACCATAAACCAACATAAACATAAATCAAAACAAAACAGAAAAATCACCATGACGATAATTTGAGTTTTGGTTTTATTTACTCGCTTTCCCGAACCTTATCTGTGCTTCAAGACGACGTACTACATCGTATCCTGATTCTGACTTGAGCCGTGATATATCGGAAATAACTCTAGCTTGATGATATTATTAATTGCTTTACTGATTTGTAAGATAAAGACGCAAACGTGAAAGAACTTACGGCGTTTCTTTTTAATTTTTGTTTGTGTCCCGCACTCGAGTCCGTTTTCTTTGATGGAAGAGTTGTTACAGAAAACTGCCTAGATTTTATGGAGTAACTTTTGTATTTTTTTTCTTTCTTTCTTTTATTCTTTTCTTTACTGTATGTCGACAATTGCATACGTAATCTCGTGGCGGTATTCACGTAAGGTCTTTTATTATTCATTATTATTTTATTTATTAAAATTTGATTCCATTTGTTACAATGTATATTCTTAGTGTGACATAGTGTCTGTTTTATTTTGCTTCTAAGTTATTCCGTGTGCAAGGAATGGCCTGGGTTACCATCCACTGGCGGCGAGGGATTTGAACGCAGGTCAGCAAGATTGCTAGACGAGATCGCTACCACTGCACCACACAGCACACAGACTCCAGTATTTTCTTTGACAGACAAAAGGCCTTAGACAGATGGAAATAGATCTGTCCACATAGAAAGATATATTTTTTTCTCTTTCCATATATCATCTCCGTTTCTGTCTTTCTCTCACCTCTAAACCTTTTCTTTTCTGAAAATAAACGGCTCTATGAATACAAACATATGCAGACAAGCAATTATGCTCTCTCTCTCTCTCTCTCTCTCTCTCTCTCTCTCTCTCTCTCTCTCTCTCTCTCTCTCTCTCTCTCTCTCTCTCTCTCTCTCTCTCTGTCTGTCTGTCTATTTCTCTCATTCTTTCTAGCTTTCAGAATGGCGTGTTGATAATAATTAGATAGAAAACTAAGGCCAATTGAATATTTTTTTCTTCAATTATAAAGAGTTAGGAAGGAATTGTTCCTATTAATTTTCATTGAGTAGTTTTATTTTCTTCATTGCACCAGAATTCTTGTTTTGATTATTATTATCGTTGTTGTCCTTAATGCTTGTATCGTTTTTATCATTATTATAATCATTATTATCCTTTTTATTGTTATTATTAATGCAAACATCATTATTATTAGAATATTTACTGTCATTATTATCATTATCATTTTATTGTTATCATTATTATTTTTTTTTATTATTATTATTATTTTTATCATTATTATTATTAGTAGTAGTAGTAGCAGTAGTAGTAGTAGTAGTAGTATCATTATCATTATCATTATTATTATTATTATTATTATTATTATTATTATTATTATCATTATTATTATTATTATTATTATTATTATTATTATTATTATTATTACTATTATTATTATTATTATCGAATCCAACCCCAGACATCTTGGATATTTATCAGATTGGTTTTCAGGATTATTATGTTGCCCGTTTGCGTGTGCATGTGTGTTCATTTCTGTGTATACGTGTGGCGCATACGTACATATTACTTTTCAATGGCAAAACACCGCGGTAATAGATAATTACGGTTAAACAGATAAGTAAACAATAAAAGATGAGAGAGAGAGACTGAAAAAAACAGACAGAAAGACAAAGAGACGTTTTCTAGAACCAGTTCTCCAAATTTCGTTTTCTTAAAATATAATAGACTTCCTATTTCATTGAAAAAAAAAAAAAAAAAAAAAAAAAAAAAGCATTTCTTTTTTTCCAATTTAAAAGGAAATAAATTTCTTCCCAACTTTTCCTAACTCTCAGTGTGGAGAAATGACATGTCTATCTTTTTTTTCTTTCTCTTTTTTCTTTTTTTTTGCTTGGTGCACCAGAATCTGATCTGCAAAGAGCTTATTTCAGTTAAGCTTTCTTCTCTCCCCTTGAGGCATTGGCCTGAATTTCCAGTCAGTGATATCGGGATATTTCAAAGATACACCGAAAACCTGTCTGTTAATTCCAATGACAAGCACAAGAGGAGAGTGGCTTTGATGTAAACTGTGACTTCTATTGAGTTCCCTGGGCTTTTTCAATTTACACTGTCCCCCTCTAGAAGATTATTCAGTCATCCCTACATTTAATTATCAAAGAAAACGTTAGTGTTTCGTTGCACTCAAAGAAAGCGTAAACTTTTAGGGGCAACTTCTTCCTAACGTTAAATTTCTCTAGTCTCAAATTGAAATTCGAATCGAGATAACTATGATCAAGCTGTTATATTAAACTTACTGATTCACCTACAATAATCTCACTGATTAAATATATCAGCATAACAGCTGATATATTCATCATCATGGTGATGGTTTGGATAATGGTAATAATAAAAGGAATAGTAATGGAAATAATATGTGATTAATCAAATGAAATGAGACTTTTCATAAGTACTAGTTCTAGTAAATAAGCAAATGGTGGTGCTTATAATGGAAAGCTATATCAGTGATATCATTATTACCAATGTAAATAAGATCATCATTATTGCTTTTATCGCCATTATCAAAATTACTGTTAGCACAATTTTAATAATTGTGTTAACATTAATTTTGATAATGATGATTATTATATTGATTGTGATGATTATATTTTATAATAGTAATGCTGATAATAATCATGATGATAATATTAATAATAATGATTATGCTAAAGATGATAATGATAATAATAATTACAATGATAATGGTAATAATAATAATGATAAAATACAAAAATGATGATAATGATAAAGATAACAATAATGATAATACTACAAATAATGATAATCATTATCATCATCATAATCATAGTGACAATAACGACAATAGCAATAATGATGATAACAATAATGATAAGAAAATGATAATAACAGTAATGGTAATAGTAATGATAATATCATTAACGATATGGCACTAATTGTAATAGCAGTAATAATAGTAATGCTAATAATAATAATGGAGATAATGATCATGATTACCATTACCATCACCTTCATCATTATCACCATCAGCTGCAACATTACCACCAGCATCATCATGGTGATGGTAATGGTAATGATAATGATTCGGATAGAAATAGTAAAAGTAGTAATACTAATGATATTAGTATTACTGATATTATGATATTAACTCTTGTTGTCACTGCTCATATAATCATTAGCTTTTTCATTGGTATTATCGTTGTCATTAGTAATAGTGTTAATATTATCGTTATCATTATCATTATTAATACCATTACTATCATCATCATTATCATTCCTATCATTATTATTACTATTACTGATATTATTATTACTATTATTATCATTGTTATTATTATTACTGTTATCATTATTATTATTATTATCTGTAACTATTCTCACTATTCACATCACTATTATTTCTGCTGCTGCTCTTATCGTTATGATCATTGTTATTATTATTAATGCTTATATTTTGTTGTCCTTATTACTGGTATAAGATTTATAATAGTGATGATAGCCGTATTACCATTACCAATGATGTCAATTTTATCATTTAGATTAAGAATAAGTATTCTGTTATCCAAACCTCTTATTGATAAATGGAATAAAACACGTATCAATTCAATACCGTTTATAACCGAGTAGCCTTTTACAGTCTATGATCGAGGTGGTCTAGAAAGTTTAACATTCTAGAAGTGCTATATCCGAAAAAAAAAAACTGTGAACGGGAACAGGCTAACAACAGACTCGCAGTATCAACA